CGAGCTCGTCTAGCGCTAGACGGCCAAGCTAATCAGCAGAACAGGGCTTCGACCGCTCGTTGGCTGGGCCGCCTCGCGCCAACTAAGCTGGCATTGGCCACTGTGTTTCGTTAATAACTCGTAAACGAAGCCGCGGATCGCATTTTCGCTAAGGAAAAAGTTGCTCCAAATGACCTCAGAAATCACCCATTTCCAGGTGTTAATATAATTATAGGACACCCTGTATGTATATATGTATATGTATAGTACGAAACTTGGGGCAATCGGGAAAAAAAAGGAAGCGACCAGCATGTCAGTGTACATTAACGTGAATACATAATAATGCTAGAATAAAAACGATGACTTAACTTTTTTATTTCTAATTTTTAGCCACGATTTGAAGGCAATTCGGAGGCCACGTGCCATGATTCGAAGGCAATTCGGAGGCCACATGCCACGATTTGAAGACAATTCGTAGGCCACATGCCACGATTCGAAGACAATTCGGAGGCCACGTGCCATGATTCGACGGTCACGTACCTAGTACCTACCACGTACCTTGTAGCTCCGCGGTTCTTCTTACCTGACTCGCACCCAAACAGACCATTTCGTGTTGTCTTCCGGGAATTCGTGTCAAAGGAGCCGCGACGCGTGCCGCATTACACGCTTGATCGACTCCGTTGAACCTTAGCATCGACGTAGCAATAAATTACACAGGCGTAGTAGGACTAGCACAAGGAAATTCACTGCAACCCGAAATTTGTCATTCTAGGGAGAATTTACTGTATTACCGTTTCGCGGGATACTGTTACAGACTGTTATTTGCAGATCGTTTGCAACAAGGTAGAAATGGTTGGTGCAATACATTAACACGTTCACTGTGTCCTGCACACTGTACGCGATTTACTGTTACAGTCAGTGCTGGATAATGTTTATTCAAAACATGTACAAGTCAAAAATATATTAGTCGATGACAGGAGATACAATGGAAAAATGTGACGACAGATAATAATGATCACACTAGATTTATTCTTATCATATACATATCATTATCATTATCGTGATTGTAAAGATACATTTATTTAATAAATTTTCTTACTTAGAACAAATGTTACGATGACAATCTGCTTGTGGTGTTCTGCAAACCTAATGTTAAGGGAAAAGTGAACATTTAAATTGAGCATTTTAATGTTTCGCGAGACAGTAAAAGTGATGACGGTTGACTATTTTTAAAATAGAGGACATCTATTTTTCTAGGTCGACCGTCTCAAAAGCCTCCGATTTTTGAATTGGGTTTAAAACAATATGCTGACATTGTTGTTTTTTTTTCTAAGTTCGTCAACCGAAGGAGAAATGATCGTACACGGCCGAAAGGGAAACCCGTTGGCACGTTTGACGCGTGTTCATCGTTTAATTACGCAAAGAAATAATTAAGTTATTTTCCGCATGCAACCGACCGAACCACTAATTAGGCATAACAGCACGCAACTCAAACACAAGGACCGCACCGCGTGTACATACTCGTTCCGCCGCCACACTTATTTACCGCACATACATCTCTTTCGCTCCGGGATTTCAACGTCGCCTCGTGAAGGATATTCGCACATCCTTACATTTATTAACGGCGTACGGTATTTTCCACGAATGTACTCGCGTCAACGTGGAACAGATCGAAACGTTTCATCGGTCAACGATCCTCGTCTCCTACTGGTATTGATTATAACGATTGAAATTGTAATTTACATACTTTGGAATTAGCCTGTTCGTCTCATGAAAAAATAATCGTAAGCACTAGGCCATACTCAAATAACGTCTATTGAGACTAATCGAATTCGATTTGCAAGTACAGTAATTTCTCCCCAATTCGCGCTCAGATTGCGCACAAAAAAAGGATAATTTGGGAAGAGGAGATACGATTATTCGAGCCACGTTTTTATAATTGTTGACAATCTGTAATTATGTAAACGAGTCGCAAGACTCGAATAATCGTATCTCTTCTTCCCAAATTATTCTACTTTTTTTGTATAATCTGAACACTTCAATTAAAGAGGATTTACTATATACAGTGGGACTAGACGTTGGCTGAAATAATTTTTGTAAAAATTGCATTTGGTTGTGGTGTACGCAATGTTTGCAATTATTGGTGTACACACTTAATTCTTTCAGCGTTAAAGTGGCTAACTTTTACTTTCTGATGACTATTATAATGTCAAATGACATTACAAAATACTATGTAAATGTTGTTTACCTTTGCGTCATTTGGGATAGTGCACTCAGTAGTATTGAATGTGGAATAAAAATACTCTCAAATAGCATTGAAATGATTATGGGAACAAATATATCCAATACCGTGAATTGCCGGGATATAAATACATCTAGTCATGTTAAAGGATTAGCACAGTTGAAGCTTGTACATGTAATTTGTATACTTGTTCGCGTACACTGTCAGTCCTATGCAACACCAAAATTTATTAGTTGACATCCTTAAATAGTTTAAAATAAAACTCAAACAAAATCTGCGGTCTATTAACACTCGAACGGCAGGGCTCGAACCCATTTGGCCCTAGAGTATAAAAATTATTATTTGACCATCCAGTATCTGACAATTAATTCCGATTTTCACATGTTTCATTAATATATCTACTACCTATAGAAAAACTAGGAGTACCTGAAGAAATATGTTGACAAAAAATTGATGAACAAAACCATGAATAATTCTAAACAGACTCGGTCGTATTTGCATCAAAAAGTTTATCCGTTCGAATGTTAATGGACTATAACGTTCCATATCTACTAAGACCAGAAATAGAAAAAGGAAACTCTCCGTGTCGCTCGTTCCCAACGACAATAGAACACACACGCGCACCTGTAATTACAGCAGAAGAAACGCACGTCCAGACAACGTAATTCAACATTCCCCTGGAAAACGAGTTTTTATTTACTCGCGATTTTCCGGGATGGGAGACGTCTCCCGAGCAAAAGAAAAATTGAAATCGCAATTCTCCGTTCTCTTTGCTTCGAGAACGGGGCTCGCTCACGGCGTTGCGCGAAGAGAAGCAACTGAAAAGCCGGTAGCGCTGCATCATATTTATCCAGACAGCGGACAAACATACTAGCGCTAGGCTCGAGTATACCTGGTACCTATTCAGTTTCGTACACTTTGAAAGACAAACGAGACACGAGTCGTTCGCGAGGAAAGGTCCCAACAGTGGCCGAACCGATCTCGATCGAAATTTGCTGATTGGTGGTCTAGACCGAAAATCAGCATGCTAACATATTCAGGCTTCGCTGTCCGAATGCAGAATATTGAACGTTGGTTGTTCAATGTTAAATGTTAAATGCCAAATGGTAAATGTTTAATATCCGAATTTTACGCTTGGAACCCTGTTAAATTTGTAATAATAACGAGCAGATAATTAAATGAAATAAGAATACAACCTGCATACCGTATAACAGATTCCCAATGATAGTTCTCTATCTGAATTGGATGACAATTTTTTTGGAAATAGCAACTTTTCGGAATTTTGTATACTCTATTAAAACGCAGAAACCTGGGAAAATTATGTAAAATATAAGCGAAGTACACAAAATGATATATTAACTAAAAAGCTTAATATCATGTGCACCACACATTTGAAATATAAAAAAAGGAGTGAATAATTTCATAGATATTTTACACATGATCCTTTGTTTTATAGAAGGTAATCAAGATAAATAATACCCTAACGCCTAAACATAGTAATACCCTGTATCCAATTTTAGGCATCCCGAACGATCAATATGCAAACAGATTTATGTTTATCGACTTTCGGGATCTCGACCCAAATCCGAAAAAAATTTCCAACCGAATTAATATTATGGCTACGTCCCTAACAAATACCAGTTGACGCAAGCAGTGCGTGTTATGTGCACGTGGTTGCACATAAGACAGACGCCTCTGTGTATGCATGAAGTGAGACAGAAACTTCATCGCATGAATAAACATTAAACATACACAACATGCATATAGTGTACGTATGTATAGAGTATCCGGCAACAGGTGGAAGAACATTTGAGAGCTGATTTTCTATACTAATGCAGAACATCAATCATATGTGGAAAATGAAGTTGTTAGCTTCGTTTTCAAATCATTGAACAATTAAGCGAACCAGGCTTATTTATGACGGTATTGTTGGTGATGACTATCGATGTAGTTTAGAAGAATTTTCAACAATTATGAAACGAAACCAAATGTATAATTCTGTGCTTTTAAGTTTCATCTGACACTGTTACGGAGAATTACCTATTAAAATTTATGCCACCTGTTGCCGAACACCCTGTAGCTTCTACATAAAAGTACTCTAACAGTGACATAAATCGAAATCATAAATCGAATCATTCTAGGAAAAATGGATTTGAATGTTCAAAATTTACTACTTTATTACTTTAATACTTTATTATACTTTATTACTTTGTGTGCAACAACATCTTATTAAAACGCTAAAATTGGAACAATAAGCAGTAGAATCTCTACAAGAATATGATAATATTTATCAAACTACTGAATGGATATAACAGATCTCAACAATAAAAACGGAAAGAAACCTTAAGTACATTTATAGCAATACCGTAGTAACACAAAATAAAACCTGAAAAACAGAAGTGAAACGAGATGCAATAGTGACACAAATATATGAAAATGTGATGAAAATTTCATTAAAAGAGCATGGACGTGCAAAGAAGGTCGTGAAGACCATTTGGCTGACACTGTTTTCCATTGTTAATTGCAGACCTTCCGCTGTCGATTTTTCATTTAAAAAAAACACGTATTTTTATACATGTATATAAAATCCAGAATTTCAAACGAAGTAGCAGTAATTTTATTAACACGAGCTGTGAATGACAGATCAGCTGAAAACATTATGCCAAGGTCACGCAGGCTGGTGATATGGAACAGGCAGGAGCCATAAATTTGATAATTATCAATAAACCCCGTATGTGACCGAGAAAGATGAATAATTAGTACAGAGATAAGTACTCACCTCGTTGCAAATCGGCAAGCAAGTAGCAGACCGTCGCGCATCGTAACAACACGACGGTCGTCGCATCCCCTTGCACCGCGTCGACCCCGGTCCTCCTCGTCCCATTCATTCATTCCTCTCCCTCATCCTCCTCTTCCTCCTCCTCGTCCGTCCACGCGACTTCGTTGTTTGTCCCGTGGCTGACGTTCGGTGTCCGCATCATTAACAAACGACACACCATAGTTACCCGCGATAATATGTATTCTATCCAACGTTCCGCGCTCAATGTTCAGACCGAAGAAAGTGCAATATCATTATCGACACGACGGCGAATCGAAACATCGGACCCACGTGACAGTCTCCCGGGGAACCGACGCCATTCGCGTTTTGTTTACGTCGCGTTGAGAATCGCGATGCAACGGAAACGACTACCGTAAAATGTAAAACATCGATTATCAAAGCACTGATTAACGGAACAATCGATTATTTCAATATTGATCGATCTGTTTACCGAAAACGTGGAACACATTCAGTGTTCGCATTTGCGTCTTGTTAGTTTTGTTATTGGCCTGTCGAAAAATTCCATGGTATCCATAGCAAGGTAAATTTAATTACGATTATATTCGTTATATAGCATAAATCATGGCAGCTTTTGCTTTTACATGAAATTTGTAGTTTTAGATTCGGGTAACGAAACTTGTATTATGATTTCACTTGGACAATCGAGGTTTTACTATAATTTTTGGAACGCACCGTTCCAAATTCAGCTACGTATGCAGGACATTCTCACTGCGTATCTTCATTGCCGAGACAGCTCTTCCAAAACAAATAACGGAAGTATCTGCCGTAAACAGAATTAAATATCGAACACGCGTTTCGAACGTATAATATACGATCGCATTGCCGTCAAACGAGGGGTTGACGTTTTCGCGAAGCGCGTTATTATCGCAATTACTCACACCCGCGAAGAAATGGTAAAAGAAAAATAGTCTTGTGAGTACACCGAAAGATCGCGCTACTCTTCGAGTCTGGTGCGCCTAGGCGGCGTGACGTGAACGTGGGACACAATGAACAGGCTTGTTAAAAGGAGAATAGCGCCGACAAGGAACAGGGGAGAGCATTCTTGCACAAATTGCGCGACGTCACGGTAAAAACTGGCGTACACTGTACGCGATAGTCGCGACACATTCTCAAGGATATCCGTGAACGTCTCACCAGCGGCTTCGCCGCTACCGCAACAGTCGAACGACATCTGATCGTTTTTTGAAGATCACGATGGCGTTTACGTTTCGGTTGCGCGGAATTTAACACGTCGGAGTCAATGGGTGAACAGGAAGCACCAGTAAGTACGCGTGCGTTTTATATAAAACGAGTCTTAGCGCGCTGCAACGCAATCAAACGGGCTGGCTAAGCGGGTTTTCGCTTTCGACTGAAATCGAATGTTCCTCCGACTAGCCGGCTGGCGATGTACTTGTGTTAGCGCGTGTGTGCCAGCGTTCGCGCACGCGTGCATCGTTGTGTGCGAGGACACGGTGCGGTACACCGAACACGCGCATTTCCACCAGCATTCAGTATCGGGTGTCGAGTATCCTGACAAGTAAACCGTAGCCTGTAGGCTTCGCGTTACAAAACACCTAGTAACGACGAGAGTCGACCGATTGTATTACCCGCGTGACACGCGCGAATCCTATATCTCGATGATTAACGTGCCATTCTCGTTCATCTTCACGGGAAATGTGTACTCCCGCAGCTCATTTTCCAATTATATTTTAAAAGAAACGTAATAGAAGGGTACAAAGATGTTTGAGAAAATATAAGATTCGACAGACAGTATTTTTATATGTTTATTGCTTTTCAAAACAATTTTCAGCTTAGCGCCGCAACGAACACGCATAATTTACGATAACGTCAATTTACAGCCATGCTTCTATCAGTTGTGATACTTGTATTAATCGTACACAATATTTTATTATGAAGGAAATGTTTTTAGTTGTTTCTTATGTGTTTTCTAAAAAGGGATGAAAATTCATTATATTTCATTATATGGAAAAGCTCTAAAAACACAGCTCTCAGAATTGCAAATACGAGTAGAACCTTGATTATCTGGATCTCCAATTTCAGAATTCTTCATTGTCCAAATACATTTCACATATGATTAGCTCGACCTAAGACAATCCATATGCAAAACGATTTTCTATATAAATCAATAAAAATTAAGGCTAGCAATATATTAGGTCTACCGGAAAGTTCTGTCCTATAATGTCACTTCAAGCTTCAATCCATATGCACATGTTGATTTGAGACATATATGATTATCTCTCTTTATCATTGCATTTACACACATGTACTCTCCTAAATAAACTGAAACAAAGATGTCTCATGTCATTATTAAGTGAGACGCGATCGTGAAAACATGGCTACCGATGATAATGTCAGACCACATGCTGCTTTGGCGACTCGTCAGAAAATCGCAGAGCTAGGCTAGGAAATTCTGTCACATCCACCATACTCCCCAGACCTAGCACCCTCCGATTATCACCTGTTTCTCTCTTTGCAAAACTTTTTACAGGAAAAAAAATTCAAAACTGAAGCTGATGTCAACCAAGCACTAGTTGAGTTTTTCGCCTCTAAAAATAAATCATATTTTAAAAGTGACATTTACAAGTTGCCATCACGCTGGCAAGAAGTCATAAGTAACGATGGAAAGTATATTCTACAATAAATATTATTAAGTGTATGAAAATTGTGTTATATTTCAATTCAAAAACGGACAGAACTTTCCGGTAGACCTAATAGTTAGGTAACTGTTCTATTCGAAGCAACTAAATTTGTACTGCAGGTACAAATTCATTGAAACAATTCACATAATGAAAGAATATAAAATTTTACTGCTTCATATGTACACAGATCATAATACTTATTTATACATATAATTACAAAATAAATGTAAAAGTACAAGTAATTAAGAAGTAAGTAACTTGTTACAATGATTATTAATTTAAAAATTGATTAAGTTAATACTTAAAATTACCTTACTCTGAACATATTACATAACTATTTTTTTTCTTCATTTAAGTTGTATTTTGTCTTTAATTTGTCTATTTCTTCCATCTTCTTGTCTACATCGACTCGTTTAAATGCCTTATTGCTTTGGTAGTATAAAACTACCAAGTACCGGTTACAAACATTAAAACCACTTAAGTGATCGCATGCATTCTTTGCATCAAATATATCCTCGTAAACAACGAAAGCAGTTCCCCTCGTTTCAGCAGTATTACCTCTGAAAATACATTTCTTTAAATCTAAACTGCATTCCTAACCTATAAGTTAAGTTCACGAGTACTTACACTCTAATTTGTCGAATAGCTCCATATTTTCCGAAGATGTCATACATTTCTTCGGCCGTAATTTTGTATGGCAAATTTCTTATATACAACACTCTGTTTACTTCGGGAGGTAATCTTACCTACAAAGATAAACATTTCGAATAACAGTGAACAAAAAGGTTAGGATGGTAGTGATCAACGTAAATATTAAGTATTAACTAATGTACTTACGTTAGCCCTCCGTTGCAACATAGCCATAGTCATGTTTGAAAAATAGTGTTTTGTTTCTCGTTTAATGAAGGAACCAGAAGTCTGGAATTATTGTTTTCTTCAGTTTCGTGATTATCAAATCAACACAAATATACACGAAACAAGTGTAAAGTTGAGTGGTGCAATACTTCTACGTCAGAGAGCAGCACCAGGCTATTCGATGTGGCGTACGCCCGTACAAACGGCACACGCGCCATCTATAATTTAGTTACTAGACGTTGCTACCTAAACCACTAGTCTCTCTCTCAGTCTAATATAGGCATTCCACGAGTGAAGACGTGTATACGAGGAGGAATAAAGCACCGCTGCGAAGTTAGGCAAACCACATGTCTCTTTATTACCAAAAGGCCATCAATCCCCAGTTCTCAGAGAACCAACATAGGAGAACAAAACACCACGCGAATCCGCCACATCGATGAGAATTCATAGCATAATTTTGAATATTTTACACATTGTTAATAATTATATTTATGATGTATTATAGGAACAACAGCTTCATAATAAAAACACGATTACAGAAAATTATAATTATAATTTTTATTCGCGGCAACAATAATCCGAAACGAACAATTAAATATAGTACTAGTAATTGGCATTATTTACTTGCAATATCATAAATTTCTTTTTGAGTATCATAATTGAATGGTGTTCGGTTACTTGAATTCTTTACATTTTCGCATCGGTATTACAATTTTTAACATTTACAGATTATAATATTTTTTATAGAATATGTTGATTTTACGATCACGCAGTTTAAAAACACTGTCGACTACAATTCTTATGAATTATTAAATAACTTGACACATCAAACATTAAAGTCGGAACACGACGATTGAACGTCTGTTATTTTCTAGACATTCGTATTAAGTATATAAGACGTACGTAATGATTCATTCATCGAGACAGATATTGCTAGTGGAATGAAGAGATGGCACAACAGACCAATGCCTGATTGCAATTAGAATCGTCAGATATCTTCTACCTTCAAAGTTTCATTAATTTCTTTATACTTTGTTGAAAGCTGCAATATCTACGCTTTGAACATGTTCTTCAATTTGTTGGATCTCTTCTGTAAGCCAATCCACTGAAACTTTTTCATCTTCTACGACGCAAGAGATCTGAAGTTTATGAATACCATAGGCCAAGGGAACAAGTTTTGCTATAAAAAAAAATAATTTCTTGAATCCTGATTTTCAATTACTTATTTACTTATTTGAAATTAGTAACCTACCAGCTCCCCATAAAAGACCGTCAGTCTCAATCTTCCTTACTTCAGTTTCCATTTCTTTCATATCAACTTCACTACCCCATGGTTTAACATCTAATATGATGTTTGACTTTGCAATCAGAACAGGTTCTGTAAAATTATTTACTAAGTAGATATGAAATAAAATATTTAAGTTGAGAATGTAATATGAATATCACATACTTTTGGATTTCTTTGCAGTATATGCAGCCAATCTCTCTTCTCTAATTTTTGCAGCTTCAGCATCTTCTCCCTAGCAAGTCAAGTATTTAAACAGTTTACAGTACACATGCTACAAGTAACAATTTAAACTTAACTAATGATATAATAGTGTGTCTATGTCAAATTCGTGTAAGAAACAGAAATATATATATATCTGAAAGTATTTGTATCCTGGGAATATCTGGTGTACTATGTCTGATAAATATCGTACAAAATTGAACATTTTCACACCCTACTTGAAAATACGTATGAAGTGTATTAAATGTGTCGTGCAGAAATGATATCAAATATTCTGTAAAGAGGAAATTGACTGCTTAGTGTCGATTGCAGTGTTTCTGCCCACTTGCCTCTGAGTCTGATTTAAATAGATCAGTATCGTTGTCATCGTCAGGTTTTTTTTTTGGTTCTTTTGGAGATGGGTCAGACTTTTGTATTGAAAATTGACTAAACGTGTCTTCAAGGTATTTAACTCGTTTCTCCAAACTGCTAATGGCGGTCAATAACCCTTCAATAGCTGCTGAAATTGATTATTTGATTAACATATTCTGTAAGTTTATATAGACACCATACAATATTCACCTTACCTTCATCTACATTTTCTTTCCCCTTTTTAGGTGGCTCGATAAGTCCCGTAAAAACTGCAATATTGTCCATCTGTAAAATAATCGTAACAAAATAATTGTAATATAAAAATACTACAATATAACTTTTACATAATGATATATTATACCCATAGATTTGTATTAATATTGAATATTATATTAGTAAGCAGAAAATTTGTTATGTAAGGGTGTGCAAAGGATGCAGTACTCACACACTGTAAAGATTCTCTAACATATTGATGAGCCTTGGCGACCTCATGGGCTAAACTTCCACCAGCATAGAAGTTTGGACTAGTAGTTTGTTGATTTTCCTGTATCCACTAATATTAATAAAGATCAACTAAGACTAAACTGATTGTTATAAATAATCTAAAATCGTATCTCCACTATGATTTACAAATAATATTAATTACATTAAAAATGCATTCCATTTTTAAATATTGCATATTCCCTATATTAAATTTGGTTACAAAGTTTCTGCTTCATTAATAAAATCGATGTTTCATTGTAATGGACAATTCTGTGATACAAAGTGGAGATAGATATTTCATACTGATATTGAAAACATGATGGGTGCAACACATACTTGTATAGCATATTAAAAAGCATTTGCTCATGTTCACAAAAAATAAAAAACACAATTCTTTATTGCTAGATGTAAGTTTGTTATAGATAAGCGTGAACTCAAAATAAAATATATTTCTTATAGTAACATGCACAGATGTATGGAGATATCATGCAAAGTATTGTATCATAAAAAAATAATTATAAATACAACATTGTTTACCCGTAAAATATGTGTAAAATCTGAGAATCAAGGTAATAGTAAATATGTAGAGGTACTTAATTGCGTGG